AATAAATTTTTGTGTGCTTCATTTTGAAAGCGTCCAATCATTCATAAAAAATTTCCTATTTAGTTTTTTTTTTATGTAAGCTAAGGGGCAATGTTCTAATTATTAAAGCACAATCGTAAAAGTAAAAGTCCACAAGCTAAAATGGAATGCATTAACTGTAACATCCCATACATAGGTAACTCTTTAACCATTTTGGTTCGATGGAGAACCAATGTTATAAAAAAAATAGTTGGAGAGAAGAGATTGAAATGTAACGATCGCGAGTCCTCGCCAATTAAGGATATAAAAAATCTAGACAATAAATTTGAAATGAAGGTAATATGATAGAGAACAAAAATAAGAACACATGGACGCAGACGGTATCAGATTTCGCTATTAAACGAAGGAGTTATGAGTTCAACAGTGGAAGTCGCCCTAAACATTAGATAAGAGCAAAAAGAAAAACAAAACAAACGTACATAGCCTAGGGTCGAACTAGTGCCTCCAGGCAATAAGACAAGCGTTACACCACTAGGTGAACTCCGAATATTTTATGAAAATTTTATGAAAATGTCTATTGAGATCAGAATATGGAAAAGAAATTTAAGGAATCTTGAGACGACATTAGTCATGATATATTACCATGAGAATCATTATATTGGTAATAATTGAGTTTTTGGAATTAATTGATGTTATGACTTTAAAAAGGTTGAAATTGTGAATTTATAAATTAGATTAGATACGAGAAGGAATTCTGGTCATAATAATTACAAAACGGATTTGTGATCTTGGTTGGATTTTTAGATGGATGAAACCGGTTTCTATCTCGTTTTGTTATTAAAGAGATTATATTACGATTTTTTGAATAATGGTGATTTAAGGGAAAATTATTATAAACTGAGTATGATGGTGAGATGATTATCACGAGATATTTTAATTAAGATTGAAGTTAAGTTACGTTTTAAGAATACTTTTTAGCAATAGTTAATTGAGTATTTAATCGAAATATTGAAGATAATCTTATTAATGTATTTTGACGAACGATGAGGTAGATGGTACTTTTAGAAATAATTATTGAGAGATGTGTTATTAAGGGAGACCTTTTCAAATGAACTTTTGATAATCATGAGAATTATATATTGGGTATGGTCTTTTTAGAATGGTTTCAAGTTATTAATATAAATTCATAAAAACAAGATTTTGATCATAATATGTTTAGTTGATATGTTGATGAAATTAGTTAATGGACGATATGGATAATTTGATGTATTTTTATTGTTATTATATGGTTCGTATGATAAAATGATTTGATGACGAATAAAATACATATTGATTATTGATATGTATGATTATGGCATGATGATGATAATGACAGGGATATTGAGTGATAGTTATACGATTGACGTGTATGAGTATGACGTGATTAGAATATCGATTGGTATAAATGTGATTGGTAAATATAAATATTACTGAGATATTTGTGACAATGTTGATATGATGAATGCTTTGATTAATGATGATGTGGATGAGATATTATCATGATCGATTTGTATTTGATATGTTAAATGATTACGATGAGTGAATGAGGTATTGATAAATTGAGTACTTGGTAGATTTGTCAAGTTTGATTTAAGAGAATGAATTATTTATATCATTGAGAAGATGATGATTATATTGAGATCGTGCAATGCATCAAAGTATGCATAGATGATGTGAGATATGCATGGACTGGGAATATCAATGGAACACTGTTGATTTCTTGGATCGATTGAGATATGATGGAAGAGAAAAATTGATATTATTTGATCATGTTAAATCACATAGACATAGAAGGGCCTATGCCTACCCCTACGAGATTGATTGGGGTGCGGTCCTAATGAAAGGATTTATGATAATCCTAGATTGGATGAGATTGTGGTTTTTTTATATAACCACTAAGATGATGAGCTCGAGCGGGGTGGGCGTATGGTGACCTTAGCGCGCAAATTAATAACAAATGGAGAGTCTGCATTTCATGCATTGCATATGATATATATGATGGAGATGATTTCCATAAAGGAAAATCGTGAAGTTATATTCGATTGATGATTGATTGAAAGATTGATATGGTTAATGCCAAATTGGTGATTTGATTATGGATGAATGATTGATATGGTTATTTCCAAATTGGTGATTTGATTATGGATGAACGATTGATATGTTTGATGTTCAAATGATGAATTGACTTTGAATGAAGGATTGATATGATGGATTCATGAGTTGAGGTAAGTTTACGATTTTATGTCGATATACGACTTGATTAATGAAAGTCATACCATGAGGAATTGGGTTAAAGATGAATTTGGATTGATGACCTAGAAATAAATCTAGAGATTAATGAGATTTTCGTGTGGCATGATAATTTGTTGATGATGTGTTTTTAAACAACAAGATGTGATGATGTGATGGCATGCTAACAATAGTTTTGCCGTATAGGCCAGGTCCACACACTCAGCTTAGTAGCTGACCCATTTTTCTTTCTAGATGTGACAGGTGTGATAAATTGAGGATGACTCTGGCACTGCACAATGATCGATGGAGGATTTTGATTTAAAAGGGTTTTCACCTATTGATTTATTCTAGAACCCTTATTTTACAATTCGGGTTTTGAGCATGCATGATAGTTTACATTGGTCAAGTATGATCATTAATTTGAGTTGAGTATGAATGGAGTAAATGAGATTGATAGTCTGGGTTATGTGAATCCTGATTTTGAGGAAGATTGATTAATGAATTGAGAAAGCGATTTTTAGTAAATTGTTATGATGAGTTGAATTTTAAACATATGATAATGATGTGGATGTGAGTTGAGTCGAGATTTTGAAAGCGTAAACCCCGAGTGATTTCCGCTGCGTGGTTGAACCATTGGTTCGACCCATTATTTTAGGGTGGGGTTGAACCATTTTAGTAATTTGATGTTTTTTTAAAAGAAGAGGGAAATTTTGGTGTATTCAAGTTTTTGGAAAGAGAAAGAAGAGGGAAATTTGTTTCTTTGAATTTTTTAGAAAAGAAACAAGTGAGAATTTTGGTGATTTTGATATGCGGGAAGAGAAAGAAGTGGGAAAGTTTGATTCTTTTGAATATGAAAGAGGAATAAGGAGGGAAACTTTTGACTTTTCAACTTTTTGTAGAAGGAAAGAAGAGGGTAATTTGGTTCTTTCAATTTTATGGAAGAGAAAGAGGAGGGAAAATTGAGTTTTTCTAATGTATGGAAGGAGAAAGAAGGAGGGAAATTTTAGTATTTTTGTGAAAAGAAAAAAGGAAACAAATTTGGTGTTTTCAATTTTTTGGTTTTTCATAATTTTAGCTTTTGAAATATGAATCTTTAACTTTAATATGGAGGGCATGACTAGTTAAAATTATTCTTATATGCTTTGAAGGCTAATATGTATATATGTATGTAATTTTTTATGGGCTAATAAATAAATTAACCATTAGTTACAACAATTTATACTAAACTTGATAAGTAATCTTTGACGGTTCGTTGTTTAGGATATAAAGTATATGGTTAGGGTATAAGGTATAATGTACATATGGTTTAGGGTGTATATGGTTAGGGTATAAGATATTGATGGTTTTGACGGTTCTAAGTTTTTTATTAACATATGTTCACTAGAAGTCATTTGAAGTCTTTAACGCCAGGAGATCCCTTTTTAATTTATGTTTATGGTACGTGGTTAGGGTACAAGGTATGTGGTGTAAAGTATAGGCTATATGGTTAGGGTATAACAATTAGCAAATATCACTTTTTATCTATATTTTGAAAATCAAAGTATGAATTTCACTTTTAAATTAACTATACTAGAAAAATCACAACTCAAGGACATATGATTAGGGTATAGGTTATGTGGTTAGTGTATAATGTATTGATGGTTTAGGGTATACAATCAACAACATATACTAACTTAATATTGTTGATTGAGGGTAAAGCTAAGTGTATAGGATATATGCTATTGAGTAAGTTATGATTGAAGTCACAATAATTTTACTAAATTTGATAGCTAATCTTTAATGGTTCAATTTTTAGGATAATTCAAACAATTTTACAAATAACTCGTTTGGCAACAGTTTACTAAAGTTATTTGGGCAATGAGTTATTTTGAAATAACTCCTTTTATCACTATGCTTTTGCCAAATACCACACGCAATACCAGATTTGCATGGTTATACTAAACGAGATACTTTAATCCAATTACTACTGAATTAATACTAAAATATCAAATAAACAATTAACGGTGTCTTTTGGTTGCAAATATTGATATCACCATTACTATTAGCTATAATACTTTACCAATTATGATTAATTACATAACAAGTTTGCAAGTTATACAAATTGATTTAACATTTTGACTAGTTTTTTTCAAAAAAATAAAGTATATATATACGAGGTAGAAATAAATTGGATAAAAAGTTGAGAAAATATTTTAAATTAGTGTAATAAAATGTGTAAGTTGGTAATGAGTAATGAGTTAAGTTACTTGATGCGCTGGCCCGAACAACCCGAAACCCGACCCGCCCGCAACCCGCCCGAAACAAAACCCGATGAACTCGCAACCCGATTTGCCCGCAACCCGATTGAATCCGAACCCGATGAACCCGCAACCCGACTAACCCGCAATCCGTTTGAACCCGAACCCGATGAACCCACAACCCGACTAACCCGCAACTTGTTTGAACCCGAACCCGATTGAACCCAGCCCGAACCCGCCCGATTGACACCTATAGTTGCTGGTGCCACTCGTGAAAAAAACAAACCGAGGGGAAGAGGAAGGAACCTCTAGCTCTAGCCTGCCTGCCTTTTTTTGCTTTTGTTTTTTATTTATATTTTATTAATTTAATAGTTAAACCAGAGTACTAGACCCACCCAATAAATCACAAATCCAACCATTTAACCGGTCAGAAATTATGACAGTACCCGTGCCGCAACGGAACCACAGAATTCCCCTACTAACTATAGAGCTTCAGCCATTTAAACATCTCTTTGACCGGCCCGCGAGTGGAAAAGACAAAGCCGCAACGGCAACGCGCGGGGTAGGTCACTAGTGTTATTATGTATTCCTTAGTTGAGAATATCACCAGCGCAGCGAATTAGATGACAATCTTATCCACAGTCTGAAGATAACGGAAGAAAAGGGCATTAATTGTGCATTGCTAAAACTCTTGCCAAGTTGCAAATCCGGCAAGCAACGTGGTCGACGCCTTCCTCCATGCGGCGGTTCATGCATTGGCCGCTATCCCATATTTCACTTCTCCTCCATTTTCCGTCCGCTTATTTAAAGTCATAGATGCACTCACTGTCGATATGTCCCTTCACTATACACATACAAAGGGAAAACCAGAGAGAAATTTACTCATAGGTATAGGTGAAGAAATGGAAGTGACGATGAGGCCGAATGTTGCTCTAGTGGTGGCCGGCGTTCTTATCATAATGCTTGTGACGACTACAGATGCACGGACCAACATTCCGCGGTCGACTTCAGAGGAGGCTGTCGTTGCCGCCGCCGACCGTACTGCTGCTACTACTACTAGTACGATTGTTGGGGCTGCTGCTCATCAGCCGGCGCTGGATCCTAACGGTCTGGGTCATGAAGAGCCGCCGCCGCCGACGCCTTTTGCTGATCAGCCGGCGCTGGATCCTAACGGTCTGGGCCATGAAGAGCCGCCGCCGCCGACGCCTTATGCTTAAGGTGCTGCGAGCTAGATGCATGCACGAGCGGTTAAATTCAAATAAACATTGACCATCCATGTTCAGCATTGTTTGAAATAAATTATAATAATAATTACAACATTAATAATATGATCAGCGGGTTTACTCATCTTCTCTCGTTACTGTGGCGGTATTTTCAATATGTGAACATGAATTATCTAACCTTCTACCAGTGCGTTAAGCCTGGCACATTAGCCCAACACGGCTCGACCTCGATGATTGGATTGGGTCAGTTTGTGATGTATATGATCAGTTTATGGTCGGATCAGTCTTTGGAACTGTAGTTTAAGGATTTGGTAGGATCGGATTAACCTAGAGTCGGGTCAGTTGACCCATAGCTACAATTGATTATATGAAATTTCTCGTACCAACACATTGGACTCGTTTATAAAGTTGTAGAAGTCTAGATATTGAAATGCAAGATAAAAAATATTAAGGTAGTAAAATATAATTTTACCACCACAATTTTTGGAGCGGTTTTTAATAATTTAAAATTTAGGGACTAAGTTATAAGAAAAAAAATTGGATAGCAAAATGTAATTTACAAAAATTGTGTGTTGATCGTTGAGCCGACCTACTAACTCGGCCCGATCCTAAAGGGTTGGACAAGGTTAAGAAGGAAATAGCAATGGGACGAGTCAATTTTATAAATTCACCCTCGGACAGGTCAAGCCCAGTTTCAACCCTACCTATCATGCGGTCTGTATATCAACTAGTATTATATCAAGCCGATTGACCATTAGAATGGTTGGGTGAACTAAAAAAAAATAGATTTGTCTATCATTTGGGATTTGCCTCTTTACTATACAGTTTTTTCAAACTTGCATCTCTACTAAGTTTCATATCAAAGTTGCTCATTTATTATGATAAAATCTTAAAAATATCCCTTTGCTATATTTTTCATCTAATTAAATATCATTAATTTCTACCTAAATTGATGTTTAATCGACCTAAAATGACTAAACTATCCCTAATTATTGAATTTAAAATACTCCACCACTACGCTGTCGACGAGTTTGAGATGGAGTTTAGACACTCCAATAGTGTTAGTCAAGGTTGTCAATCTGGATATGATCCACTAACGTTTTGATCGATTCTACTCGAACTCGCGGTCTTGATCAAATGTCATGAGCCTAACCGGCTATAAGCCCAAATTTGGGCAAATTCACATAAACCGTTCTATTTGACCGTCTGTACAAATATTGGGTCAAACCCTCAAACAACATCGTTTTGTCTCTAGATAAGAGGAAGTAAAAAATAGCGATGAAAGTCTCTTGCCTTTAGAGTAGGGATGGCAATGGGTCGGGTTTTGGCAAACCCAAACCCATGGGTTTATCCGTGAAAAAACCCAGGGTAAAATCCATTAGGTTTGAAAAACTCAAACCCAACCCAACCAGTTGGGTATCCGCGGGTTCATGGATACCCACGGATTTTTGTCGTAAAATCAAATATCAATCTCTCGATACAAATTATCGATATATAAAATACTATTCTAGAAAATTCAAGCAAATCATAAATTAACTATATAAATTGTTTAACACCAATCTAGAAAACTCAAAAAAATTGAAGCAAATCACAAATTATCCATAAATAACATGATTAATTGGAAGCTTCTTCCTTTCAATTAAGTTTCTTCACTCTCCACTCGATAACATCAACTTCATTCTACACAACTAGAAAAAAAAAATTTAGACATGTCTCCACAAACATAGATAAGATTAGTTGTTTAGAATATTAAATATACCGAGAAAATTAATTATATGCGTGTGGGCGGGTACCCATGGGCCGGATTTACCTAAACGCAAACCCAACCCGGTGAATAGTGAACGGGTTTAATTAACTGACAATTCGACATGCAATTGACAAAATTAGGGTTTTGCTCTGCCCTTAACAAAATCAAATTAGGGTTCAGTCAACTCTAGAACACTAAATTGGGGACAGGAAACAGGGGCACCGGAGTAGGAAGCAGAACGCCATTAGATTGGGAACCAAGAATGAAGAAAATCATTGGAGCGGTGAGGGGAATCACCCACATTCACTCCCAATTCGACGGCACAACCTCAACCTCCACCGCCGGTGGTGCCGAATCCGTTCACGGAAACATCAAATCCTCCAACGTCCTCCTCACCGCCAACCTCGACGCCTGCATCTCCGACGTTGGTCTAGCTCCGCTGATGAACTTCCCGGCCACAATGTATCGAACCATGGGGTACAGAGCTCCCGAAGTGATTGAGACCCGGAAACCCAGCCAGAAATCAGACGTCTATAGGTTAGGCGTCCTGCTGCTGGAAGCTCTGACGGGGAAAACGCTGATGAGAGGTCCCCTCGGCGGTGGTGGTGCGTACGACGAGGTGGTGGATCTGCCGAGGTGAGTGAGGTGGGTGGTGGGGGAGGAGTTGACGGCGGAGGTTTCCGATGCGGAGCTGGTGAGTAGCCGAAGCGTGGAGGAGGATATGGTGCAGATGCTGCAGATCGCGCTGGCTTGTGTGGCGAAGGGTCCCGAGATGCGGCCCACCATGGATGAAATCGTGAGGTTGATTGAGGGAATTGTTTGACCTAATGCTGCAGTAGAGAGGAAGAGTGAAAGCGAAAACACCAACGTCTACGAGCACCATGAATGAGGATGAAGAAAGGGGAATCAGAGACGTAGGAGAGGCCCACCGCCGTAGGATGAAGAATGAGGTGGTGGTTCTGGTTTTGCGGCGTTGACCTCGGCCTCGGGGTTGGTTCTTAATTTAATAGTTTTTTTTCTTTTTTTAATAGTTAGAAATGAGGATTGCTAGTGCTGTGGGTAGGCCTCTGTGTATGGATCACTCAACTATGCGACGAGAACGAGTAGGTCGAGCAAAAGTTTGTTTGGATGTTAGTGCGAAGAGGGCGAGGGTTGACAAAATTAGTGTTACTCTGGATGACATGGCTGAGTTCTTCATTGGAGTAGAATATTGTGGCCTTCCAAAATGTTGTGCTAAGTGTCAGATCTTTGGGCACGACTGTGCAGTGCCAGGGCCAGGGGTGCAAACTAAGCAAGTTTGGAGGGTGAAGCAGCGTTAGGTGGCTGTCTTGGATAAAGTGACAGAGGTAGAGGTGGTAAGCGAGGCTAGAGTGGCAAAGGCGGATAAGGGGAAGGAAGTTGTGGTTGATGCTACCCCTCCAGCAACTCCTAGTGCCTTACTTACTTAGGAAGAATTTAACAAGGTTATTAATGGGGTCAAACCCAAATCTAAGAAAGCTGCTTCGCCTGTTATCCATTCAAATGCCTTTGAGCTGTTGTGTGGTAGCAGGATGGTCAATTTGCAACCTCCACCAAAGAAGGCAGATAGAGAGGGGTTACGAAGTCAGGGAGGAGCCACTAAGGTGGTGAAATCTCGTCAATGACAGTCCTCGTATGGAATATGAGGGGCTTTAATAGCCCTAAGAAGCATGAGGCAGTGCTTCAGTATCTGAAAATGAATAAGGTAACTTTGTTTGCTTTATTAGAAACTCGAGTACAAAAAGAAAAGGAAATAAAGGAAATAAGACAGAAGTTTGTTGGATACCAGTTTACAGATAATTATAGTAAACACAAACTGGGTAGAATCTGGATTGGTTGCAGTGATGATGTTACGATGAGGATATTGGCTACAGAAGTGAACTATAAACATACTTTAGTGTCTCTTGAGAATAATGATCAGTTCTTTTTTACTGCGGTTTATGGATCAAACGAGGAGAAGGAGAGGCTTAATACATACAAAAGTTTGGGTAAGTGGAAGGTCTAAGATTTTCCTTGGATGATAGGAGGGGACTTCAATGCTTTTTTGCACCCAGCTGAGGCTTCAAATGAGGTGTCCTTATCTACTAGCACTACTGATTTTAGAGAGTGGGTTAGACACATGGAAATTCTGGATCATACAGCATCTGGACCTTTATTTACTTGGTCAAATCAGCATCAGGATAATCCCATTGCGAGAAAACTGGATAGACTGATGGTCAATGTTGAGTGGCTGGCTGCTTTTCCTGATTGTGTAGTAACATTCCTAGCTCCGATTTCTCAGATCGTTGTGGCATTCTGATTACGCCTCGACTTCCAGCTAGGAAGTTCCCAAAGCCATTTAAGTTTTATGATATGTGGCTGCAGCACGAGTCTTTTTCTTTGCTCCTAGAGACGAGCTGGACATCTGAGGTCTCTGGTATGGGGTTATTGGGTATTAAGCAGAGGTTAAACATACTGAAGCAGGAATTGAAATCTTTGAATAAGAAGGAGTATTGGGATATCTCTGGGAGGGTCATTGAGAAGGAAGCTGAGATGAAATCTGAACAGCTAAAGGCTCTTAAGGATCCTTCACAATATCATTATGCAGAGGTAAACAAAGTAACTAAGGAGTATCTGCACTTGAAGCAAGCCGAGGAGTATTTTTTCAGGAAACGATCAAGAATAACCTGGCTGTCATTAAGGGATCTGAACTCTTCTTTTTCCACAATACTGCTAGAATTAGATCTGCCAGAAAACAAATAAGGAAGCTTATATCCTCAAGTGGTGAGGTGCTGACAGATATGGAAGATATTGCCAAAGAGGCAGTGGACTATTATAAGCATCTATTTGTATTTGCGAATCAGGAGGTCTCTGTAGATGAGGTTGTTATCGAGGGGTGTCTTACACATACACTTGGCTTGGAGGATCAACAATTTTTATGTGAGGAAGTGACTAGCAAGGAGATTTATTAGACGCTGTTTGATATGAACCCGAATAAGGCTCCTGGCCCAGATGGCTGGACTGCAAGCTTCTTTCAAAAATGTTGGGGGACTATTGGACCAAGGATTGTGGAGGGTGTTCAACAATTTTTCAGGGATGGTACAATGTCAAGGGGTATGAACTCTGCTTCTTTAACACTTGTTCCAAAAATTGCAAATGCTGACCAGTTGAACTCTTTTAGGCCTATAGCTTGCATCAATGTTATCTATAAAATCATTTCAAAGGTGCTAGCTAATAGGTTGAAGAATGTTCTAGGTTCTGTCATTAGTAGAAACCAGTATGCTTTTATCAAGGGGCGTAGTATTGCTGAGAACATACTGATGGCACAAGAAATTGTGCATAACTATAAAAAAGTAAATATCTCCTCTCGATGTGCAATTAAGGTTGACTTACGTAAAGCATTTGATTCGGTTGACTGGGGGTATTTGAAGGTGGTTATGACAAAAATGGGATTTCCACAGAAATTTATGCAGTGGATTGGTATATGCTTGAGTTCTGCCACTTTTAGCATTTAGCATTTCTATTCATGGGGTCTGTTTGGTTTTTTAAATGCTGCTAAGGGGGTTAGGCAAGGGGATCCCCTATATCCCTACCTATTTACCATAGCCATTGAGCCGCTTACTGGTATGCTGAATCAGGCTGCACTTAGGGATGCTTTGCCTTTCCATCCGCAATGTAAAAACTTGGGATTAACTCACTTAAGTTTTGCTGATGATTTGTTGATTTTTACTAAGGGGTCAGCGTTTGCTTTACAGGGATTGAGAACCATTCTGAATGATTTTTATAAGCTCTCTGGTCTCCAATGTAATCCTGATACGTGAGGTTTTCTTTGGAGGTTATGCTTATCAATTCAAACAAAATGCACTTAGAGTATCTGGGTTCAAAGAAGGGATTTTGCCGGTGAGGTACCTTGGCTTGCCTCTTCTTGTTGGTAAGCTATCCAGTAGGGAATATTCAGCATTGATTGACAAGGTCACTAGCAGAGTTAAAAGCTGGAGAGCTGGCAGATTGTCTTATTCTGGGAAGCTACAATTAGTGGAGTCAGTTTTGTATTCTTTGATTCACTATTGGATGGAAATTTTTCTTATACCTAAGAAGGTGCTGAGAAGTATACAGAAAAATTTCGGATTTTGTCTAGCATGGGGATAAGTCGGGAAGTGCCAAAGTTGCTTGGGACTTTCTGGCTATGCCGAAGAAGGAAGGGGGGCTGGGGTTGAAGGATTTGATCTCCTAGAATGTAGCCTCTGTGGCTCGTTTCATATGGTTTCTCCTTCTTCAGGGGGGGGGCGGCTTTTGGGTAGCCTGGATTTATCAGTATAGACTCAGGGGAGTCTCAATCTGGGAAGCAAAGCTAACATCATCTGGTTCCTGGATCTGGAAGCAAATTTTGAAAGTCAAACCATGGTTGAGATTTAGAATGGACGTGGTTCAAGACTGTGTTACATGGCAGGGTAAGCGTTTGGACAAATATTCAGTCTCAACTGTATGGGACACTATCAGAAGGAGGCAGCCAAGAGTGAGTTGGTGGAAAGTTGTTTGGAATAAGTTTGTCCTGCCTCGAAACATGTAGGTCTGGTTGATTATCAATGACAGAATTGCTACTAGGGATAAACTCAAAATGTGGGGTGTTATCAATGATAGTACATGTGTGTTCTGTAGAGCAGTGGAGGAGTCTCGTAGTCACTTGTTCTGTCAGTGTGATTATATGCAGGAGGTGGTTGTTACTCTACTACGAGAAGATGTTGTGTTTCCTGGGAGTTGGTCCGACCTGCTGGAGTCTATTGAAACCAGAGTTCGGAAGAATGGGAGCTGTGGGGTGATTGAAGCGGCTATCTGGTGTTGGTGCATCTGTGCTGTGTGGAAAGAGAGGTGTCATAGGGTATTTGGAGAACAACCTCGTGCTGCTGTAGTGTTGGCTGAACAACTAAGGGAGGAGATCAGGTTGTTTGTTGTGGCTCATCCTGAGTTTCGGATCCAAATTAGTAAAACCCAAACCTGCTGTAAATGTTTAGCTGAGTAGGGGTGTGTTTTCTTTGGTCGATCCTTGTATTGTAAGGGACTATTGTGGGCGACTGCCTATGTATTTTTCGAGCTCTTGTGTTGTTTTTAGCCAAGGGAGTGCTTAATGGTAAAGTCAACTTACCGAAGAAAAAAAAAATTAAATTTTTTTTTATTTATTTAATTATTTTTTAATTGCCACGTCACAAATTTAACGGTCAACTTTTAGAGTTGACTGCCACATCAGCCAAAGTTAACGGAGTTGGACGGAAAGTGACCAAACGTGAACTGTTTCAGTAAACTGAAGTACCACCAATGAATTTAAATATTTCGAGTTACCAAACTTAAACTTTTTTTGTAGTCAAACCATGCAATTAACCCACAAATACTGCAAGCAAATCCAAAGTCCATAACATAATTTGCGGCCCTGATCTTACAGTTTTAAATAAGACAACTGCCCTGTTTCTGTACCTCCTCTCTCTCCCTCTCTCTTCTATCAGGAATTCAACATCCAAGAGGTTTGGATGATACTGAACCCGAATGTACGAGTGACCTAAGCTGCTCCATTTTGGACCGGAACTCACTGTCCAAAGTTATGAACGATTTCTGCCGGCCGGCGAAGGCAACACTGAACTGTTTGACCTCAGCTTCCAGGTTTTTCATTCGCCGTGCTTCACAATTCAAGCCCACCACCACGTTCTCCTTCTGGTTGGTTGTCATATCATCAAGCTTCTCAGACAATTCAGAGACTCTATGGACAAGCGACTCCCTCTCTTGATTCAGAAGCTGGAGATCTCTTTCCAAGCTGATATATTTATCTCTTGAAACCCCCAGGAGCTTGTTGTTCTGTTCCAACTCTTTCTCCAGCTCTCCATGCTTCGCCTTGATTGTCTTCAGTTCACTCCCTAGTTTGTTGTCT